ATATTTCCATACTTGCACTGTGTACAAGACTTGATCAAGAGGTTCACAAAGATAGATTTCAAACATATTCCAAGGATTCAGACTGCGTTTTTAGATGCATTAGCCACTTTGTCGTCCATGATACAACACCCAAACAAGAATTTTATTGATCCTATCCCAATAGGATTTCATAAACAGCCAACTTATTGTGCTCATGTTGAAGAAGATATTGACGGAAATTCATGGTTCCACGACATCAAGGAATACTTGGAAAAAGGAGAATATCCAGAGCATGCTGCGCACACCTAGAAGCACACGCTTCGAAGATTGTCTAACTATTTCTTTCAAAGCGGAGGAATTATGTAAAGAAGGACTCCTGACTTGGGATTGATGTGATGCGTCGATGACAAGGAGGCGTCTAGATTGCTCGAAGAAATACATGCCGAAACTTGCGGAGCCCACATGAATGGTTTTGTTCTGGTCAAGAAGATATTAAGAGCTGGATATTTCTGGATGACTATGGAAACATACTGCATCAAATATGTTCAAAAGTGTCACCAATGCTAGATACATGCTGATATGATATGAGTGCCGCCCAACGAACTCAATGTAACGAGTCCTCTCTCTTGATGTCATCGAACCAATTGAACTCGCTGCTTCAAACAGACATAGGTTCATTCTGGTATCTTTACACTACTTCACAAAATGGGTTGAAGTCGCATCCTATAAGGATGTAACTAAGAAGGTCGTAGCAGATTTTATTTGGGACCGCATCGTTTGTCGATTTTGAGTACCCGAGTCAATCATTACTGACAATGCCCCCAATCTCAATAATAACTTAATGAAAGACATATGTGAAACATTCAAGATCAAGCATCGAAACTCTACAGCATACATGCCACAAATTAATGGAGTCGTAGAAGCTGCCAACAAGAACATCAAGAAGATATTAAGGAAAATGGTAGACAATTACAAATAATGGCATGAGAAGCTACCGTTTACTTTGCTCGGGTATTTCACCACAATTCGTACATCCACTGGGGCAACTCCCTATCTATTGGTTTACGGTACTGAAGTTGTTATTCCTGCCGAAGTACAAATCCCTTCCTTAATAATCATACAGGAAGCTGAGCTCAGCGACGCAGAATGGGTATGGAGCCGGTATGAACAACTATCTCTCATTGATGGAAAAAGAATGAACACAGTATGTCACGGTCAACTCTACTAGAATAGAATGGCAAGAGCTTTAAACAAAAAAGATTAGGTCAAGGCAATTCACACCGGGGCAATTAGTACTAAAAGGGATTTTCCCACATCAGGATGAAGAAAAGGGGAAATTCTCACCCAACTGGCAAGACCCTTACATGGTTCACCGAGTATTAATAGGAGGAGAACTTATACTTGCAAAAATGGATGGAGAGATTTGGCCAAAACCTATCAATTCGGAGTCAAGAGATACTATGTTTAAGTTTATGTTTGCACTTTCTATTTGATGCAACCGAACTACGCTTGACCTGATTCCTGCTTAAGAGGGGATACGTAGGCAGCCCTGTGGGTTCGGTCATATAATAATAAAATCTTCATTCCCCCTATGGTCAAGAACTGGGGCAAGAAATCGAGTTTTCTCGATCTCATCATGTTCGGAACCGCCAAGGAATGTATCGCCAGAAGTACGCATTTAAACTGGGGCAGAATTTTGAGGAGGATCCCCAAAATTTCGAGTTAAGGAGGTTTCAATGTCTTAAAAACATGTCACAGTCATCAATTCACCAAATTATTTGCTCTCGTGCATTATCACATATTCCAAACAACTGCATTTTTAAAAATAATTTATCAAACGCATGTTTTTCTAAAATTTTGTTTCTATAGCAGCCAGACTTTACTCGGGGTGACTCAAGCAGGGCCTCCAGACAAAAGCAAAGGAAAAAAAAGGAATCGAGAGCACGAACCAACCTCCCCCTCCCCCCCGCAAAACTCACGATTTTTCTTTGGATGCATGCACAATGAACATAACAGGAACGTCCGCAAATACATACATATAGCAAGATCACTATCTTCACACCGACAAAGGGCGCCAAACGCAAACACATCAAGCTAAGAAATACTTTATGCTCTCACATTTAGTCATTGCTTTTCTTGTATAGGGCTAAGCATTTCCCTCATCATTGCATAAGGCTAAGCACTGGCTTTCTTTGTACGAGACTAAGCACTGTATCCATTTTTTGCATGAGACTAAGCACTGTCTCCACGTTGCATAAGGCTAAGCACTGCCATTCTTTGCATGATACTAAGCAATGTCTCCACATTGCATAAGGCTAATCACTGCCTTTCTTTTCATGAGACTAAATACTGTCTCCATTCCTTGCATGAGGCTAAGCATTGCCTCCATTATTGCATGAGGCTAAGCATTGCCTTTCCTTGCCAGAGACCAAGCACTGTCTCCGTTCCTTGCATAAGAATAAGCATTGTCTCCACTCTTTGCATAGGGCTAAACACTTCCCTCATCATTGCATAAGGCTAAGCACTGCCTTTCCTTGCATGGGACTAAGCACTGTATCCATTCCTTGCACGAGGTTAAGCATTGACTCCATTGTTGCATATGGCTAGGAATTGTCTTTCCTTGCATGAGACTAAACATTTTCTCCGATCTTTGCATCAGGCTAAGCATTGCCCTTATCTCATACAAGACTAAACCGTGTCTCATCTCGTTCTCGTATATGACTAAGCATTACATGTTTCCTCTATCAAACGATCGATATCACCGCATCTTTGCATCTCATGGGCTGAAACATCACCATATTGTCCGGAGGGGTCATAGTCTGAGGGCATCATTCCATAGCCCGAAGACATCATGCCATGGTCATAGGATCACTCGAAATTGCATATCATTATTCAAAGGCGTCATAGTCCAGAGGCACCATCTTCATGGCCCGAGGACACCATTCCATGGCCTGCAAATCCCTTATCATATGCTTCATGGCCTAGGACGTCATGGTGTAAGGATATCATCCTCATCGCCCGAAGACAACCCTCATGGTCCAAAGGGAATTTGCATCATGTTTAAATTTTTGCAATAACCCATATATATTCGCATGCACCGTATTTTAAGTCTTGCAGGTAACTCGGGAAGTAACCGTTCTACAAACAGGAGCAATTCTTGCTCCGGTTTCCGTTCACAGTGTTCACATCCTTCGATCACCTCAAATGTAACCGATGATCAGTAATTGATTACCCTTTTGCTCTATAACTGTTCAAATATTTGCCTTATACATCCGCAACGTTCAAATTCTCATTCACGACTCCACCTAAATTATCCGTTACCTACGACACTACCCTACCCAAAAGATCCTTTGTTCGAAGCATATGACCACTCTTATAACAACTCCATCGGTTTCGTTCGCCATTGGATCCAGAACTACACACGACCTGATTTCCGTAACACCAGGGATAGGTAGGCAACTCAAGAACCAGGGTTCGACCCCGATTTTTTCAAAATAAATCATTCCTCACTCACTTCGGACAAAATTGGTCATCATTTTCTTTACCCGACAACTCTTTCATCATTCTGGGGGAAAGAAGGGCAATTGTTGATACCCAATTTTGGCCTCATATTTTTTTTAAATAGTATATATACTTTCAAAATATNGCTTTAAAATTAATTTTCTTGCATTTAAATTACTTGAATATTTATTAATTACCCCTTAAATTATATTTTTGATGACTTAATTATCCAAAGTTATTATTTGCATCAACATATATGTTTCAAAATATTTTATTTTATTTTATATAAGTATATTTCGTTCAGCATGCCATATATGTTATTTAGCTTAGTGTGTTGTACACTAATAGAATAGAAAGCATGCCTATAGGAATCACACACACACTTCACTTAACTTGTCGAAACATGTTGGCTAAAGTAATTGCTATATTTGTTTCTATATGTACTACTAGACGCTTCTAGATAGCATGCATATAGGATACAACAATACATGTTTTGCTAATGTCCACCTAGATACCATGTCTATAGGGTTTCAATTAATTAATCAATCAAGTGCTTCTATTGCTCTTTGCATGTTGCTCCTTTAGACATCATGACTATAGGATCTTAATCAATCAATCGACTACTTCCGTTACTTTCATTACACTGCCCCGCCTAGATGACATGCCTATAGGGATGGAGTATTATAAAATCAAGTTCAATTGTCAATCCTGCCTATGAGATATTATCACTCGTCTAGAAATCATGTTTATAAAATCAAACGTCATTAATTCTGAGCTTTCAACAGTTTTACTGCCCCATTGCATAAACAATTTAGAGATTATGCCTATAGGAGCTCTTTAACATAGTAATTGGGTAGCAGGAGATGATAGTTTGTGTCCGCTGAATAATATGAGCAACCCCCACTTTAAGGGAGTTACGAAGTATTATTTATGTTGCATGGGGTGATCCTTTAGGCTAAAAAATTTAGCCCCTATATATTTTACACTCAGTCATTTAACATAGATCAATATAGTTGTATTCTTGTAGTCATTAAAATTTATGCCGATTCTCATATGTCTTAATAAGACTCTTCGATTTCTAAATTTTCCTTTATTTATTTGATCACCTAGCCTAATTGCATAATCCACATAATTTAAAGTTCGGCCGGGACCCACCATTCTGGACTTCGAAGAGTGCCAAACACCTTCTCTTTGAGGTAATTTGAGCCCTTACCCGATCTTTGGTGATACGGACAAGTCAAATAGAGTTATTTGCAAATAGGTGCCCTAACGCACCTCAAAATTGTTCGGTGGCAACTCTTCTCCTTTAATACCCATTTAAAAGAGTTGTCACATGTCGAAACCCGCTTTCGTGAGAAAATGGGGCACGACACATCGACCTAAGATAGGAGGTCGTAAACACGCTACGACAGGGACACCTCAAAGAGTTGTTGAGCGGCCGGGGAAGGACCAACTTTGCCAGAGGAAGTGAACAGCATCAAGGACTGCCGAAACCACCCTTGCCGACCCGTACTATCCACATGATCATCGGTGGAGTCAATGTTGCTTCCATCAATAGTGTGAAGTTTACCAGAACCCACAAGCTCAAACAGTCGATCACCCACAAACGATATGATGAACTCGAAGAAAGTATCATCTTTGATAAGTCAGATACCAATGGTTTGGTTTTGCCTCACTATGATGCTCTTGTTATCACTTTACAAATTTTAGATATCGACGTGAGGCGCATTATGGTGGACGATGGGAGCGGCGCATGCATTATCCACTCTCGAGTACTTGCACAAATGAAACTCGAGGATAAGATAGTGTCGTGCTGCATCACACAAACGGGTTTTAACAATGCAGTTGAGCAAACATCCGGTGAGATCACACTCACCGTCCTAGCCGGTGGAGTCACCATGGAAACCACATTCCATATCATGGACCAAGACACAATGTACAACACCATAATAGGGCAACCATGGATACACACCATGAGAGACATCCCCTCCAACTTTTACCATGTCATCAAATTCCCAACTCCATGGGGAATATTCAGTATACCAAGGAAACAATGCACATCCCAGGAATGCTACTACATCGCCCTAGACTGTACAACCATCCAACAAACAAAGGACAAAGAAAAAGAGGCATAGCAATCAACATGGTTGAGGTCGATGTGTAATGACAGCAAGGACGTCATCAGAGACCCCGATATGGTCGAAGCTGCAGGATCAATTATAGAGGACCTCGACCTCGTTCAGTTAGATAGCAACGACCACACCAAGAAAGCTTACATTGGCTACAAACTTCAAGAACCAGGTAAGTTTCGTCAATTCTTAACTGCTAACGCGGACTTGTTTGTTTTTAGCCATGCAGATATGCCAAGTATCCCAAAGAAGATAGCCACACACAAATTGAACATCGATCTATTCCACCCCCCGATGAGGCAGGTTAGGCGTAAGTTCAACTCCGCAATTAATGATGTAGTATGCGAAGGGGTGGAAAATTTGTTTGAAAATGGCTTTATCAGGGAGTCGAAATACCCCCAATGGGTCGCTAACATGGTCATGGTGAAAATAAAGAATGGAAAATGGTGGATGTGCGTAGATTTTACTAACCTGAACAAAGCATGCCCCAAAGATTCGTTTCCACTACCCCATATCGACCAACTCATCGATGCAACGGCCGGGCATAAACTACTAAGCTTCTTGGACGCCTACTCGGGCTATAATCAGATCCTCATGGAGGAAGAGGATCAGGAAAAAAACCCCTTCATCACCCATCAGGGGATGTACTGCTACAAGGTTATGCCCTCTGGGCCGAAAAATACGGGGGCGACTTATCAAAGGTCGGTGACGAGGATGTTCAAAGACCAACTCTGTAAAATTGTAGAAGTCTATATAGACGAGATGCTGGTCAAATCCAAAAGGAAAAAAGATCACATCGACCACTTGAGAGAAACCTTCGGCATACTCAGGCAATATGGAATGAAACTGAACCCCCAAAAATGTGCATTCGGCGTGGCCTCAAGAATATTCTTAGGTTTCCTAGTGTCACAACGAGGTATCGAGGTCAATCCTGACCAAATCAAGGCCATCTAAGGAATACTGGAGCACTTGACCACCGAAAAATAGGTTCAGAGGTTGACTGGCCATATCGCCACCCTTTCAAGGTTCATTTCGTGATCATCTGATAGGTACCATAAATTCTTCGGCGTACTCAAAGAGGATAACAGCCTCCAATGGACCACTGAGTGCGCCCAAGCCCTGAAGGAGTTAAAGGTGTACATGTCATCGCCACTGTTGCTTTCAAAACCAGAAGTGGGGCAGCACCTCCTCGTCTATATCGCCGTGTCCGAAGTAGTTGTGAGTGCAGTCCTGGTCCGAGAAAATAAAGGTATGCAGTCTCCCATCTATTACATTAGCAAAACACTAGTCGATGCCAAGACAAGATACCCCCACCTCGAAAAGCTGGCTTTGGCCTTAGTCGTAGCTTCACGAAAGCTTAGACCATATTTCCAATGCCACCCCATCTCGGTCGTCAAGACTTTCCCCCTGAGAAGCATTTTGCATAAATCCGAGCTATCGGGCAGGTTGGCCAAATGGGCCATCGAATTGAGCAAGCACTATATCACATATCGGCCGCGAAGAACGACAAAGTCACAAGTCCTTGTAGGCTTCGTCGCTGACTTCAGCGCAAAAATAATGCCCGAAGTCGAAAAAGAAGCCATCCATGCTTCTCCCCAAACGCAAGACCTCTGGATCCTGTACACTGATGACCCGTCTAACATGTCAGGGTCCGGGCTGGGACTCTACTCGACGTCCCAACAGGCGAAGTGATTCACCAGTCCATTAGATGCCAGGACATGACTAACAACGAGGCCGAGTAGGAGGCCGTAATTGCACGATTAAGACTAGCAGTCAAATACTGAGCAAAACGGCTAAGACTGCGTTGCGATTCTCAACTCGTAGTCAACAAAGTCACAGGGACTTTCCAAATCAAGGAACAAAGGTTGCAAAAGTACCAGACCAAAATTTGCACGCTGCTACCCGAGTTCGACGAATGTCAACTTGACCAGATCCCCCAAGCACAAAATACCGAGGCATACGGCCTCACCAAATTAGTCACAACCACTAAAAACATTGCAACCAGAGACAGAAGCATTGTCCATCTTTTCAATTCATCAATAGACCTAATTGAGGTAAGAACCATAAACCTGACTTGGGACTGGCGCAACCGTATTGTTACATAATTGCAGGACAAAATACTCCCAGTTGATTAAAAAAGAAGCCAAGAAATTGCGGATACAAGCACCCCGGTACAACACCATTCACAACGACCAGTGCAAGAGAACGTACAGTGGCCCTATAGCGAAATACCTGGGCCCGAATCAGACGTGGCGCGTCCTTGAAGAAGTACACGAAGGCCACTGTGGATCTCATTCCGACAATTGGGCTTTGGTCAGATGCCTCATACGGGCATGGTATTACTGGCCCACCATCAAAAAGGAGGCAGCATATTTCATGAAAAAGTGCGAGCAATGCCAAAAATATGCCCCAATGATCCACCAAGCAGGCGAACACCTATACTCAGTGACTTCCCCTTGGCCGTTCATCAAATGTAGAATAGACATCGTGGGCTCCCCTCCCGACAGGATGAGGTAACGTACATTTTGTTTTTTGGTTTTAACTGATTATTTATCTAAATGGGTAGAAGCAAGAGCATTCGCCCAAAGACATGAACAGGAAGTGATCACCTTCATATGGAAAAACATCATATGTCGATTTGGCCTCCCCAAAAAGATCAGCTGCAACAACGGACCCCAATTTACAGGAAAGAAAGTCACTGAGTTTTTAAGAAATGGCATATCAAAAGAATACTCTCAACGCCAAACCACCCCGCGGGCACCGGACAAGCAGAGTCCTCCAATAAGTCGATATTGAACATCATGAAAAACAAACTCAAAGACGCCGAAAGGTTATTGCCGGAAATATTACCAGAAGTACTCTTTGATCTATGGGAACAACACCGAAGACAAGCACAGGAGAGACGCCTTACTCATTGGTCTATGGAACTGATGCAGTAATACCGATCGAAGTCGGGGAGCCCATCCTAAGATACTCCTACGAAAGCGGACTCAGCAACGATGAAAGCAGAAGGCAGGAGCTCGACGAAGTCGAAGAACGAAGAGATATGGCCTACATAAGGATGATTGTCCAAAAGCAACAAGCAGAAAGCTATTATAACAAAAAGGCAAAGATCAGGCCACTCAAAGTTAGGGACTACATGCTTAAAGCTAAAACACAAGCGAGACAAAACCCATGGGAAGGTAAACTAGGAACAAATTGGGATGACCCGTACAAAATCACGACGACAGCGAGCAAGGGGTCATTCAAACTAGAAACAATGGAAGGAAAGCTACTACCAAACAACTGGAATATCGCAAACCTCAAGTACTTCAACTTTTAAGACAAGAAGCGTTCCCAAAGTCGTACTTTTTTTCCCTCACTTGTGTTTTGCCCCAATTGGGTTTTCTCAAGGAGGTTTTTAAGGAGGCGACAGAGGGGACACCTCAGGTTGAAGTGCGCACGGACGGAGGCACATGAAGGCTAGTTCATTGCTCGACCTCTCAGGACTCCTCCAAGTCAACCAATAAAGGGACTAGATAGGCTAGGACTAGAATGTAAATGCCAGCCAACGTCCGAAAAAATATGTAAATTTCTCCAAGTGTATGAACAAAGCACAAATGCATGAAGTTTATTTCTATTTCTCCAAATGTACAACCAAGGCAACGTTGCCTTAAAGATCACAATGCCTACATATGCCGCACCTAGAGGCATACCTAATCGACCCTCGGCCATAACTAAGTATAGGTTGTATTCGACCCTGTTCGAATCAACACCTAACCGGCCCTCGGCCATAACTAAGTATAGGCTGTATTCGACCTTATTTGAATCAACACCTAACCGGTCCTCGACCATAACTAAGTACAGGTTGTATTCGACCTCGTTCGAATCAACACCTAATCGGACCTCGGCCATAACTAAGTATAGGCTATATTCGACCTCGTTCGAATCAACACCTAACCAGCCCTCGGCCATAACTGAGTATAGGTTGTATTCGACCTCGTTCAAGTTAACACCTAACTGGCCTTCTGACATAAATAAATATACGATATGTTCGACCTCGTTCGAGCTAATATCTACTGGCCCTTGGCCATGATCAAACTTAGCTTTTGTTTTGACATCGATCGAACTAACACCCGTCGACCTGCACCCGTAATTAAACTAAGGATATGTCTAACCCTTCTCGAGCTAAATGATTATGACTAAGAAAACCAAGGCAACCAAGCAACAAGATCAAAAGCATACAGGTTCGAACTGAAGAAAAAGAATTAGGTACAAATAACAAAACTGGTATTTCATACTTAGAATATTTTTTACAAAGGCTCGAAAAGATACCCATAAAAAACTTACAAGTTTGCGGCAAAACAAAAAGAAGGAAAAGAAAAACTACTAATCGCCGCTAGGCCCGGCAGCGCCATCTGCCTGATCACCTAGGCCATCCCCATCTGCCCCTTCACCATCACCATCTCCCTCAGGATACTCGTCCTCATACCAAGCGTCCTCTTCAATCCGATCCACGCCCGTATACCCCTCATCATCACCGACCTTCAGTGTAGTAGGATCGTAGCCACAAGCGACCCGAGCTCCACGTGCCTTAACACGAGCATCCTCGAAGACGGCTTCTGAAATGGTTCTCGCCCTCGTCAGATCTCTAAATATATCCAGCTGGGCCTCGGCGTAAATCCACTCCTCGTACAAATCTCGAGGAATATCAGGAAAATTATAAGTGCGAGAAGAGGATGGTCGAGCCAATAACGGTGCCTTTTCGGCCTCAAGAGTGGCGACTCGATCACAAAGGCCAGAAGCCACTTTCACTAATTCTCCAATCCGTTCATCAAGACGCTCTTCTTTGAGTCTGGCCATCTCCAAGGCACTCTCTCACTCGGAATGAAGAACATGGATCACGATCTCCAAAGCCTCTGTCTTCTTCATAACCCCCGACTGAGTTAACTCCGCCTTTTCGAGATTCGTTGCCTTCTCGGCGACCTCGCCACTTAAAGCATCCTCTTTAAATTCACACTCCTCAA